GGGGGGGGGGGGGTCAGCCTTGTTGTTAACAGATAAACTTACACTTTTCAAGTCACTATACTAGTGTGGCCGCCAGCCTCTGCATCTTCTCACTAAGCTAGCTTCAAGAACTAAGATGGAAGGAATTTCTAGTAAAATAAATGAAAATTCACACTCCAAAAATACTCTCCTGAACACTTTTGTATGAAATGAGTTTTTGAAATGACTCTGTTATTTACAGATGATATCCATCCCCCTTTGAGAAAATTTGTTCTGAATTCTACCCCCAGGACTCAATTGCACAAGAGACTAGATTTAAAAAGAAGATGGAAGTGTCCTGATTGTTTGACCTGGTGAATGATATTTCAGAGTATTTCCTTGAAATCTGTTATGTCTACTGACTACCACATCCGTTTACTAATTTCAACAGATTCAGACAAATGATATGTGATCAGCAAAAGAAAATTCCCACTTCAAAATAATTAACGGATTGCAAATAAATCCTCAAAGTATGCTGAAGAAGCTACAAGTGTCCCAACTCATCAAAATACAAACACTCATTTACCCAAGAAACAACCAGCCTTGTAAATATATGCCTAAGTATGTATTTCATCATTTATGCATTCACACAATAAATTCACTAAGCACCTATTGTTTACCAGATGCTGGGATACGTATTAAGACATAAAAAATCCTTCCTCTGCCCTTGAATGTTTATAGGCAGGAAAAAAATCATATATACCATAGGTGTAATAAAATGTTCCAAGTGTCACGTTGGGTAACAAGTCTACTAGTTCATTTGCACATTCAACAACTATTGCACACCTACTATGTGCCCAGGATCGTTACAGTTTCTGAGTAATAAAGGTAGTCCCCACCAGGGACAGAAGAATGATAATGTGTTGTTGTTGTTGTTGTTTTAAATACACGTAATGATGTATAACTCTACACATGTGTATTACTTGGGTAATTAGGGAAAACTTACTAAATAAGCTTTTTGTCCTAAAGTTGCCTTTCCTTTGTGAGCCAAGAAGAGAAATAAAAGCCCAAACTTGTTAAGTATGATGTTTGAGAGCCATAAAATTATCGTGCTTACCAGGAATACAGGATTGTTCCAACAACAGATGTGAGTTTACTGTTTTCTTGTTTTTGCTTTGCCAGGCCAAAGTCAGCTATAATTCACAAAACAAAACAATGTTAGTATTTTTCTCCAGAATTAGCATCTTTCCTTAGGTTTTGAGATTACAGTTCACAACAGGAAGCTTTTCTTTTTTTTTAACCTTCTACAGAATGCCCTATGTAGCAATCTTCCACACCACCAGCCCTAATGAACAGCATACATATAATATTCCATTATGCTATGTATTTTGACATGAGGTTTATCATTTTTAAAAAACTAAAGTAAGTCTTGCCAACTGAAACATAGGACAAAGTACTAATTGAACTTCTGGTTTCACATTTTAAATTACCTTTTATAATTTCAAATGAATAGAATGAATCTAATATTTTGGCATATGGCAGTTATGACCTCACCTGGCCAAAAAAATGAATAAAAATTAAAAATAAGGTAAGCCTGAATAACCACCATGAAGACCTAAAACCCTGAAATTAAATGACATCTACTGGTAGTAAATCATAGTAACATAATGTTCAGAATCACTCAAAATATTTACACATCAACAAGTAATTTGGATTTTTAATTTAGAACCAAATATTTATATTTAATATTAGCACTAGCTGAACTTTTCAAATCACCTACAGATTCTTTCCTTTTTTTTTAACTATTCAACAACTAAGGTCTAGGTGGTAAAACCTCATCTTCAGATCCTCATTGTACAGATTTACCAACTTTCAAGTGCTTTACTTACCAGGATTACACAAAACCACACACTGAACCAGAACAAGAATTCGAGTTGCTCTGCCTAATAAGGTTTGATGTTCACAGTATCACTTTGTAAAGTGTACCAAATGCAATGGAATTTCACTGCAATTGGTTATTTACCTATAATTAAATGTCTTTCAAGTTGAAAACATTCCAGAGTAGTTTGATTTCAAATAATAATAATTCCCATTAGTGATAACCATACCCACTTACTAAACAACAACCTTGAGCTAGCACAGATTTATTTAGCTCCTTACATGAATTGCCTAATACTCACAGAGACCCTGAAAGAAAGGTGTTATTATAGTGAGTGCCACTTAGCTGCTGAAAAGCAAGGACTCTGGAACCAAAGATTGCCTCATGTCAAATCCTGGCTCCATCATATGCTACTAGAGTAGTCCTGGGCAAGTTATTTAATCTCCCTTTACAGTAGTTTATCCATAAAATAAAGATTATAGTGTAGTATAATAGTGAAATTTGAATAAGTTAACATATGAAAATGTAGTATAATATAGTATTGAACAGCTGATGTATATCATTATTTAATCATCACAAATACTATTTTGTAGATGAGGAAAACTCAGGGTCAAAAAGATTGACTAACTTGCCCAAAAGGAGAAATTAACAGTCTGATGTGAATCTGGGGTTGCTTGATACTAAAGCCCAAATTTCTTATCAAAACACACTAATTCCAACAACAAAAAAATCAGGCCCAGATCATTTCAGTGACAAATTCAGCCAAACACTTGAGGAATAAATACTGATTCTGCACAAATTATAACAGAAAATAGAAGAAAACATTTCCCAACTCACTTTACAAAACCAATATTACTCTGATACAAAGCCAAACACATTACAAGACAAGAAAACTATAGAACAATATCCTCCATGCAAATAGACACAAAATAATTAACAAAATAAAAGTAAATAAAATCCAGAGATATGTAAAAAGGTACTTAATGACGAGGTGAGGGTTAGGCCAAAAATAGAAGGTGATCCACCATTTAAAAAGCAATCAATGAAGTTCACCAGTATGTTTAGGGTCTGTCATTCTTAACCAGTACTCAAGGTCCAGGAGAGCCTGGCTGGCGTGGCTCAGCAGCAGGAGGCAGCCGATCAATGACTCTCATCATTGATGTTTCTCTCTCTCTCCCTCTCCCTTCCTCTCTCACTAAAGATATATTTAATATATTTAATAATTATTGAGAGAAGAAGGGAGAGGGGGAGAGAGAGAGAAACATCAATGGTGAGAGAGTCATTGATCGGCTTCCCCCTGCACGCCCCGGACTGGGGATCGAGCCCGCAACCCGGCCATGTGCCCAGACTGGGAATCAAACCTCGATCTCCTGGATCCTAGGTTGATGCTCAGCTGCTGAGCCACGCCCAGCTAGGCTGTATATATATATTTTTTCAATCCAGGAGAGCAAGGGCTTTGTGTCATTAGTCATGTAGAATGACAGAGGTACATGTTGGCACATACACAGACATATATGCATATGGACATGTCTATCTATCATCTACTTACCTACGCATCTGCATATCTACCCTCTCAGTCAAATGGGGAATATTAGAGGGCTCAACTACATGATGTGTTGCTAAAAACCATTCACAGGCAGATGAGTTGCTATAACCTTCTCTTCCTCTAGTGTGTAATGGAGAAAATTAGTGGAAATAGATTAGTATTTTAATATTTTTAGGGGCTCCCTATAATTTTAGCACACATAAACCTTGACTAATTTGCAGTCTAAAATAATACTTTAACTTTTAGTTCTAATGTTACATAGAAATTATAAAAATGCCATTGATTTTGAAAGGCAAAAACGAAGGAGTGGCACTCATAGTGCTTCAACTCGCTCCAATTAACTTACATAAACGGCAGAGCGCGGACTGGTGTCTGCGGCCAGCCAGGCGGCCGCGAAGTGTCCGTAAAGAGGCAAAAGCTAACAGGGTTGGGCCCTTTGGAAGATACTGGTAGTAACGATCATGCTGGTATTGCTCTTTCTCCATGTTTGGAGCAGAGGAAAGGCTTCATTTCAGGAAATGTGGTCCTAAAAGCCTTCATGTGCTCTAACAGAAATCCAAAAGTGACAACGGGAAATGTTTTGTCCTTCCCTGTGCTTGCATATAGCACATTATGCAAAAAAACCTCTCCTTTGATAGAACCGCTCACGCAGGAACTGTTCGTGCTGCGGCCTGCAGCGAGCGCTCGGCCTTCAGGCGGAAAGGGGTGCGGGCTCTGCCTGAGCTCCTGGCTCTTACTCTCCCCTTTACCCCGTGTGACAGTGGACACGTGACTCCGCTACCGTGTTTTCTCAGAAAATGGCTTTGAAACTGACCTGCAAGGCCTGCTCCAACAGCCTGGCAGCAGATGCGCGCTGTGCAGTGCTGTGCAGGTGCAAGGTGCTCCTGCGCCTCTCCGCGGGGGGCTCTCGGTCGCCACGTGCGTCAGCAACACCCCACTCACAGCCAGAAGGGCCGGCCTGAGCACAGCCCTGTGGAGCACTTGCCCCTTCACACCCCATCGGGCTCACTGTCACGCCCTCTGGGGTACCCCAACAGAGGATGGCATCTCAGCTTCCCATTTCCTGGCCTTAAAGTCTCTGCCTCTTTCCTCTTGCCCCTATGTTCAGCCCCTCCCCAGGTCTTGTATTTGAACCTTTTTTTTGTTCTGTGACCACAACTGAAATGTGCCAGGAGCCCGGGCCTCCCCCTTGCGGCCACAGCAAAGGCCTCCCCATCAGACGCCTCCTGCTCCATCCCGCGGGTGTTAACCATGGAGCAGTGCCAACCCGTGCCAACCCGGCCTTCATCACAGCAGCCCCTGCCTGCTGTTCATAAAGCATCCGGCCGCTCCGCCTGCCTTCAGGACTGCCCATTACTCGTTGGTTCACTCATTTTTCCACCAAAACCTCCCCCTGACCTTCCTCCAAATGAAGTTCAGCCATTATTAACAATATTATTTCTAATTTAACAAGTGGAACGCTAATCAAGTCCAAAATGAAATTTCTAAAACAGAGGAGGGAGGCAGGCATGCAACGCTGTGCAGCAGGGAACGCCTCCACCACGCCACCCCCTCCGAGCTCCCTTCCCCAGGGCAGGCCCAGCGCTGGCTGCGGCAGGGGTAAGGTATTTCCTTTCCTCAACAGCATAGTTACTTCATCGATTTTTTATTGATGGAGTTGTTATGACTGGGAGCTCCAGGATGAAACTTCCAACACCCGACAAAAGAGTGCTTTCTGAATTCTAGGTAACTCTACAGTACACACACATCATTTCACTCTCGGACATCTAGCAATAGACTGAATTCTCCCTTCCTCTCTCTCTAAAATCAATAAACATATCCTTGGGTGAGAATTTTTTTTTAAAAAAAGATACAGTCTCCTAAGAGGAAATATATTTAGACGTTAAAATTAGATATCATTTGGTAAAACTTTGCACACCTAAATATGCTGGAACTCTGCTGCCTCATGAAGGCAAAATCCAGCCAGCATGCTTACTACAAATAATTGCAAACCAACTTTAATCTTAAAACATCTAATTCACCTACAGTAAGTAAAAACAGAAGAGGGAAATTTTAGTTTTTCTAAAGCTTTCTTTATGGTCATGTTTTCAATGCATTTTGGCTTGGGCATCTTAAACATCACTTGGTAATTCAGAGCTTCTTTTCTGGGAGTAAATAAACCTTGTAGCACAGAAAAGAGAAAAATAAAATATGGCAAGGCTGCCCCCTAGTGGTGACATGGTTACACACACACACACACACACACACACACACACACACACACACACAC